TTTATCAATATTTTCCCATGTATCTATCTCATTCTGATAACATATCTATACACTCACAGATATATATACATATATATGTGTGTGTGTGCGTGTGTGTGTGTGTGTGTGTGTGTTTTGAGAGAGATAAACTTTCCCATGTCTACTTCTCTGGCGTTAGGAATTGTTGTGGTAATCATATTACAACTTGTAACGAGGTGACAAACTCGCTATCGTTTTACCCACCAAGTAAGCCACCTGACATTGGATGAGGTAGATGAAATGTGTTTAATGTGAAGACATATTCTGTCACATAACTATGAACATCCACACATTTATATATACACACACACACACACATGGGCTTTTCTTTCTTTGGGCGCACCTGCAAATATGTCCAAACACATATTCACATAAACACACTGAAAAAGACACATACACACAACTGCTTACTCATACGTTAATACACTTACATGCGCAAACGTACACACGCACACACTTACGTAGCCAGATTAAGGCATATATACTCGCCACGCACAGATAGACACATGAATATACACTCAGTTACGAATATATAACACGGGTGGACCGGCTCAACCCTGGGCCCTTTCCATGCTAGTCAGTACTGCTACCGGTCAACTGATGATTATTTTGCCGCTTCCTCGATCCTTCTGCGCCACGTTGTATTCCTTGATCACAGAGCAGTGAAGATCGAATTTCGTCCCTACTCGAGTGCTGGGTCGAACCGCTGCTAAACGGTGCTACAAAAACACAAAGAACGTTTCCACTGGCGAAAATAAAAATGACATAACAAAATAAGGAAGAAAGTCGCCGGGTTAAATTTCAATTGATTTATACAGTTCCAGATACTACAAAATTAGCCCTTCCCGTTAAAATCTCTATCGCGACACTTTATATTCTAAAACTTAGAGCGGGTTCAAAAAAAGAAGGCCGTGTATTCTCTCGGCAGAAGGTTACATCTTCATCTTCCTGCTTTTAAACCCGGCTTCTGTTTGCTTCTTCTGCTTTCTGGTGGCTTCTGCTGGCTTCTCCTCTTTAAGACGCTAAGCGCCCGCTTATATGTATTTCGCCCGAAACCTATCGCACCTTATGATTCATTAACATTCATATCAATTTTGGAGACCTTCAAATAAAGCTGCCCGCGGTCAGTCATTTATTCAAAATAATACATTCTTCGATAACAATCTTGTGTTTTTAAATTCTTTTCTTTGTCCTAGACGTCAATCGGCCCAAATTCCTAATGAGAAAATCGAGCCATCCTTTTGTTTTGATAAGATCTGGGTCACCATGCCTTGACATCAAAGATTTTGCTTTGTTGTCATCTTTTTAATATGACCGATTCTTGTCCACGTTGCATGTTTACAAAATCATATTTCAGATTGTTTACATTATCGGCTTGCGAATCACAATTCTACTTGTTCTTCGGCTGACAAGCAGTTTATATTTTATATTTCTTAGATCATATTTTGGAACCAACATTCCATTCTGCTTTTCTGGTTATCGTAAAGAAAAACAAATCTCTGTTTTTTTCCTTGCTCCATATTTTAAATCCTGTTTTCACCTAAACGTTTTAACCCTACCAATTCTCCAAATTCTATACGGGGTTTTCACACGAACACTTTTAATCCTTTTCATAGTACCAGTGTCGCAATAGTATCTCATTAACCCTTTCAACTATAACCAGTGACAGTTTGTAGTATCACAAATAGATATGAATTTAATATTTTTATAAGCAATAGAATTTATATCATTTTAGACATTCAAATAGTTCATAGATCTTTCTATTCACATAATAAGGAAAGAGGGCTGAAAAAAGTTAAGACTCACAGGAGAAATTGAAGGTAAGTGGAACAGAGGTAAGCAACGCATGACCTGGTTAACGACCTTGAGTAAACGGTAGAACTGGGATTAGAAGAAATAGCAAAAACAAAGAATTAAAAAAGAAAGCTGTTGAAAGCCATGATCGCTCTAATGCTGAAGTGACACTGTACAAAGGAAGAATATATTTCTATCGGATCGCTTTATGTATCACTAGACATGGAAGGGTGTCCATGCAAGCACCTCCAGCGGGCAAACCCGAGGCCACACTATGTTGCGATCTGCGCTCCCATCCTTCACATCTTACATTAGACAACCGACGGCTACTGACATTTACTTACCAAAATGACGCATCATGATTATAAACAACCAAAGATATAAAACTAAACAGGATGGACAAAAGACACCTAAACCCCTGAATCT